CTTTCTTTCTTTCTTTCTTTCTTCCTTCCTTCCTTCCTTCCTTCCTTCCTTCCTTCCTTCCTTCCTTCCTTTGCTTTCTTTCCCTTTCCCTTTCTCTTTTGTTCCTTCCTCCCTCCTTTCCCCTTCCCCTTTTCCTCCCTCTGTCCCTCCCTCCCTTCCCTTAATAACCATCTCGCTTAGCAATAGAAATGTGGGGCTCAATTGTGGTCGTACGTCGAGGACTACCTGCAACAAATTAAAGTCTCCAACTGGCCTTTCCACTTTGATGGTCGGATGCACGCTCATCCTATTGCAGGGGGCTGGACTAGAAGACCTCCAAGGTCCCTTCCCACTCTGTTACTCTGGTTAATTCTGCCTTTCTCCTCTCTCCCCCACTCCCTCTCCTGTGGAAGCAAAAAACTTTAACCCCTTCCTTCCCTTTCTCCTCGCAGTCCTTCTGCTCTGCATGGCGTCTGCTCTCGCTGGGGGGGAAGACCAGGCGACCTTCCTAAGCAAAGCCCAGGAACTGGGGCTGGCCGACGGCAGGTACCTCTTTCTGCCCTACGACACGCTCTTCTACAGCCTGCCCTACGGAAACCATTCCTATTTCCTTCTGGAAAATGACGATGGCTTCCGGAAGGCTTACGACGCCGTGCTGACGATCACGTTGCAGTCTGGAGAATTGACTTTCTACGACGCTTTTCGGGCAGCCAAAGAAAAGGGAGAAATCAAGGTGGATTTTGAACCTGAACAGGTCAGTCGGTCCGTATTAGTACCACTTTATAAAAAGCCCTAGTAAGGCCACACCTGGAATGCCGCAGCCAGTTTTGGTCACCGTACCACAAAAAAGATGTGGAGAGTTTGGAAAAAGTTCAGAGAAGAGCAGCTAAGATGATCCAAGGCCTTGTTGAAGGAAAAATCTTCATTGGGGTTCAGTCCAAGCCGGGAATAAATAAAATGGAGACTGCTTTAGAAAGAAGGTTGCAGTTTATTGAAGAGGAGAGCCAGACAGGAAGATAGCTCTGAGAGAAAAAAGAGAGAGCACAGGTAGAGAGTGGGTTTTTATACCCTCTGGAGCCTTTTGTTTGGAGTTGCTTCTTGTTCCTGTTTGAGGCTTTGTATTTCCTGTGTCATGTATTCTGACCTGAGTCTGAGTGTGCCCTTTGGCATCTGTGGGTTAATCCTATTATGTCCTGTCTTAGAGTTTGGGTGGGGTGTGTAGATTTTAGGTGTCTGTCTTCCTAAGCTTCTAGCTGGAGGCCTCCAGCCTTCCTGAATGGATGATCACATCTGCATTTCTACAGAGCTGGTTTCTGCTTGGGGGAGGGAGACTTGGGGATATAAAGAAAAACTGGGCATGCTTTTCGGTCTCTTTAAGATCCTTTGAGGAAATATATTTTTCTGCCCTTTTAATATTTCCTTCTTGGGGGGGGCTGACTTCCCACAGCCTGGAAGCTAAACCATATGAAGAACGGCTACAGGATTTGGGTCTGGCTAGTCTAAAGAAAAGAAGAAATAGGGGAGACATGATAACAGTGTTCCAGTATCTGAGGGTCTGTCACAAAGAAGAGGGGGTCAGGTTGTTCACCAGAGCACCAGAGGGAAGGATGAGAAACAATGGTTGGAAACTAATCAAGGAGAGAAGCAACCTGGAATTAAGGAGAAACTTCCTGACAGTGAGGACAATCAACCAGTGGAACCGCTTGCCACCAGAAATCGTGGGCACTCCATCACTGAAGACTTTTAAGAAGAGACTGGACAGTCACTTTTCTGAGATGGTATAGGTTCTCCTGCTTGAACAGGGGGCTGGACTAGAAGACCTCCAAGGTCCCTTCCAGCTCTTATTCAATTCTATCCACACATACTTCTTGACCAATGGAGCCCAAAATTTCTGGTGCTAAGCGAGACAGTTGTTAAGTGAGTTTTGCCCCCCATTTTATGACCTTTCTTGCCACGGTTGTTAAGCGAATCGCTGCAGTTGTTAAGTTAGCAACGTGTTTGTTAAGTGAATCTGGCTTCCCCCATTGACTTTGTTTGTCAGAAGGTCGCAAAAAGGGGATCCCAGGACGCTGCGACCGTCATAAATATGAGTCGGTTGCCAAGCATCTGAATTTTGATCCCATGAGCATGGGAATGCTACAGGGGTTGTAAGTGTGAAAAAGTCACTTCTTTGGGTGCCGTTCTAACTTGAAACGGCCACTAAATGAACTTCTGGAAGTCGAGAACCAACTGTAAAAATCTAAGCACTCTATGGATTGGTACCATGGTCCAAGCAATGCTCACCCATTGAACTTGTGCAAAACTAATCCATGTTCTTTCTACAATGACTTTTTGATGAAGCTGATTATTAGGCACGTAGTAACTATCACAGTGAGAGCCAGTTTGGTGTCATGGTTAATGCTTCAAGCTAGGAACCAGGAGACTGGAAGTTCTAGTCCCGCCCTAGGCATGAAAGCCGGCTGGGTGACTTTGAACCAATCACCAGGAGACGGTGAGTTCTAGTCCCGCCTTAGCCATGAAAGCTAGTTGGGTGACTTTGGGCCAATCACCAGGAGACGGTGAGTTCTAATCCCGCCTTAGCCATGAAAGCTAGTTGGGTGACTTTGGGCCAATCACCAGGAGACGGTGAGTTCTAGTCCCGCCTTAGCCATGAAAGCTAGTTGGGTGACTTTGAGCCAATCACCAGGAGACGGTGAGTTCTAGTCCCGCCTTAGCCATGAAAGCTAGTTGGGTGACTTTGAGCCAATCACCAGGAGACGGTGAGTTCTAGTCCCGCCTTAGCCATGAAAGCTAGTTGGGTGACTTT